AATTATACTGACTTCCCTGGTTCTGAGATCTTAGACTTGGACTGAGTCATGCTCCTGGTATCCCAGAGTCTCCAGCTTGCTGGTGGTCTAGCATGGGTCTTATCAGCCTCCATAGTCACACGGATTAATTTCCTAATATCTATCTATCTATGTATTATCTATCTACCTCTGTCTATCTCTCTACATATCTATCTCCTATTGGTTCTGCCTCTCTGAAGAACACTGACAAATACAGATTTTGGTATTGAGAAGTGGGAGTGTTGCCATAAAAAGTAGCTAAAAGTGTGGAAGCAGCTTTGGAACTGGGTAATGTATAAAGGCTGGAAGAATTTGGAGGTACAGCCTCAAAGCCTAGATTTCCATGAATTATATGCATTCTGATAAAGTCTCAGAGAGAAATGGGGAACAAGGTATTAGAAATGAGAGTAAATACCCTCCTTGTGATACAGTTGCAATGAACTTGGTGCATTTATGCCCAAGTCTTAGGACTTTATAGAATGCAGAATTTAAAAGTGATGAACTCTGGCAGAACCTAAGCAGCAAAGCATTCCAACTATTGCAGGGATACCCTTAACCACATATAGTGAGCTGTGGGAGCAAACATAAAATTCAAAATTAACAGGAAAGCAGAGCAGTAGATTTGGAAAATTTGCAACCTGGCCGTGTAGAGCAGAAAAGTATATTTAGAAGAGAAAACTAAAGGTTTGACCCAGTGACTATTTGCTAAAAGAGATTCAGCTGGCTAGAAGGGAGTCAGATATTTTTCATGGAGCCAATGGGAGAAAGACCCAGCAGACATTTTAGAGCCCTTCGAGGTTGACCCTGCCATCATGGGCCAGAGATGTAGGAGGGCAAGATGGCTTCAGGCAACAGGCCGAAGAACCCCGCCTGGGTTCACTGCCCAGAGCCACCTCAAGTTTCTATTGTCTGCATTTCAGAACAGTTTTCTTCACCTCCCCAGCCACAGCCCCAGTCCAGCTTGATCACCATCCTGGAGGATGCTCAGGGCAGGCCTTCGTGGCAGCCACAAAGTGCTGACTTTTAAGACCAGCAAATTACAAGAGCTGTAGGAAGATGGCTTCCTCCACCTAGATTGAAAAGGATTGTAAGGACTACCTAAGGGCCTAGGAAGACACTTCTTTCAGGAGAAGAGCCACCCCAGAGAACCTTCACACAGCAGATTTCTAGTGGAGCAGTGGGAGTAGGACTGCTCCCAAAACCCAGAACTGCAGAGCTAACATTGGGAAGGAAATGATTATCCTATGCCTGGTCCACCTTGTATTTTGGAAGTAGAAAATTTATTTTGATTTCGCAGGCCCACAGGTATAGGGAATTTGCCTTAGGGTAAATCATGCCTTACATCTCATTCATATCTGATTTAGATGACAAGTTTGGACTTTTGAGCTAACACTGAAATAAGTTAAGACTTTTGAGGCAACTGGAAGAGAATGGATGTATTTTGTATGTGAAAGGGGGATGGGTTATGGGGGACCATAAATAGAATGCTATGGCTTGAATATCTCCTGTAAAACTCATGTTGAAATTTAATTGCCATTTTAGTAATGGTGGGACCCTTAAAAGTTAAGTAAGTCATAAGGGCTTTGCTTTCATGAAGGGATTGATGTTGTTAATCACAGAAATGGATTAGCAATCACAGAAGTGAGTTCCTGATTTTTTAAAAGGAATGGGTTGGGCCCATTGTACACTCTCCATTTCTCAAATGCTTGCTTGCCTTTCCACCATGTGGTGATACAGCACACATCCACCATGTGGTGATGCAGCACACAAGCCCTCACCACAAGCCAGAACCATATTCATGGACTTCCCAGACTCCTGAAATGCAACAAATAAACTTACCTGTTTAATAAATAATGTGGTCTCTGCTATTCTCTCATAGCAGCAGAGAACAAGCTGAGACACAGCAACACTGATACCAATTAACACATGACTGAATGATCATTATGTGCCTGGCACTACACTTAATGTTTAGTGTACACTGCCTTACTTAATTATCATAGTCTGAGGACTACTGGAAAGGGAGACCTAGAGAAGGGCCCAGAGTGATTCAGGTAGAAGGTAGTTCTCAGTCCCAAATGTCATCAAGCCCATCGCTCAACTTCACTATCACCATGTGCTGTCTTTGGGTGGTGGGTGGACTTCGTTTTCATCCTTTATGAAGACGGAGGTTTTATTTTTCTTTTCACTGAGTGACTCTTCTAGAAGACTGATTACCAAAAAAAGTGTATTTTTCCTGTCTTGTTTACAACTGGTTTTGTTTAAAAAATTAAAAAAAAACAAAAACAGGTTATGAATGGGCTTGCACACAGGCGTATTAACCAAAATGTGATCCAAGTGCTGTTCACCTAATCCGCATCTGTAGCACACACAGTAGAGAGTATAAAACTATAGCCACATCTCCCTGACCTCAAATAACCTTGATCAAGTCATGGTCCCTAAGCTTCTGTTTCCTCATCTATGCAATAGGAGCGATAATACCTCCCTCCTGGCATTGTTGTCAGGACTAATGAGCTAATAAATGTAAGGCTCTGGGCTCAGTGCTTGTCATGGAGCAGACAGTTGATAAATGGCAGCCATGACTAGCATCCATTTTATTCAACAGAATTTCCAGGCCTTGTTCTTATTTTGACTTTCCCATCATTTCATGCTACCCCAGCATGCAACAGTGACCTGCACTTACATTCCTCTTTATATGCTTGTTTTATTACCTCGTAGTAATTATGTGCACTTGTGTTTTCCTTCCACGACATTAAGGCTTGATGAGCCTGACTTAGTGAGCCTGGCCCAGTGAGACATTTAAAACCGTGGAAGAAACTTTTTGGTCTTCCTTGCAATTTTAGGTAATGGAGGCAATGGCTTTCCACTCATCTTCCCACTGGTTCATGTCTCATCTGTTATGTCCTCTGTGACTCCAGGTCCTCTATTCTGCACACAGAAGTCAGGTAGTTAGCACATGTTATATGAATATCATTAAGTGATGAGAGAAGCCCCGGTATTTTCCCTACAGTGTGAACAGGACAAGAAGACACTGGTTAGCTCTTTTTTCTTATATTCAATGCAATAAAGGCCCAGCTCACAGGTTGAAAGGCTGCTCTATGTAGAGCTACAATATTGACTATGGTAGCAACTCAGCTCATCTCCACCTATTCAGAAAGAAATTTGAGCTTGGCCACTGAGATAGAAGCATAAAGGGGAAGAGGATGATCTGAATGAGAAAGGTGCCCCCTGCCTGACAAATCCCTGCTGGCCTTTATGTCAGTAACTGAGGAGAAATTTTTCAGCCCATATATTTTATTCCCAGATACCTGTGAACATTTTTCTTAGTGTAGGATTAGAAGAGTGGCTCATGTATACTATTATTTTGTCTCTAGAAAACATATGTGTTGTTTGTTTGTTTGTTCCTTTGTTTGGGTTATTTTTTTTTACTGAGGATTAAATCCAGGACTTTGCATATGGTCGGCAAGTGTTCTACCAACTGAGCTACTTCCCAACCCAAAAGAGTATTTCTACATATTTCTTGATTTAATCCAGGCTAGAGAGGGCTACACAGGGTACTTAAGGTCTGTCTGCATAGTGTGTGAGAAAAATTTAGCCAGGCAAGCAGGGGCCTTGGTTTGGGGGTGAAGAAGAGGAAGATTCTCATCAAAGGGATTGGTATTTTATAGAATGTAGATAGGAAAAACTCCCTCTACGGGTTGTGTTTAGCTATCTGCCTGGCTCTCAAGCTCATAAGTGGGGCTTTTTAGGGGTGACTGGGTCTCTGGTATGTCCGTATGGATTTGGGGCCACTGATTGATTTAGCATGGTTCTAGGTGTGGTCATGGGAAGCCCCACTCTGGGTGTGGGTGGCACCAATAGGCTGGTATCCTGAGTGGAATATAAAGGGAAAGGAAGGCTCATGGCTGCCTGCTTCCTGCCTGCTCTGCCATAGACTCTTTCTCTTCTGGAATGCCCTCTGCCATGCTGCCCTGGCTTAGAGCCAGCTGACTATGGACTGAAACCTCCACAGACTGTGAGCTAAAATAAACCTTTTCTCTTTTAACTTGTGGGTATTATGTAGTTTGTGCCAGCAATAATGAAGTAACTAAGACACTTACCCATTTGAATAACTAAAGCAATGAAAGGACACTGGGGACAATGAATGGCTGCAATGATAGGTAGGGAGAAAAAAGAAGCAGAATGAAATAACGAACAAAAACACAGAGTTATTAACCTTTTTTGATGCCACAAATTCTTGTAATCAACTAGTAAAGCCTAGTCTTAGAATGATATTTTTAAATCCATAAAGTGGAAAGTGTAATTTTACAAAGAAAATCAACTCCACTGAAATACAGCTGTCAATTTTTGTTATAATATCATAATCTAGTAATTATGCACTAGAGAAGATCTAGTAGTGGGTTGACATCCCCCATAATTTTCAAGTAGTGATGAGCATACACAGTATTCAAAAATTTGGTAACAACTCTCAATGTTTACTAAGACTCTGTTGAGGATGAAGTTATAGGTACTGTTAAGTCTGATGTAACTTGTTGCATTCACTTATGATTGAAGAAAATGCAAAACTTCAGTTAGAAGTACATAAAACTAAAGATCATTTTTGCCATCCAAGGTCATGGATGCTTTAAATTTATGGGCTCCTTGGAAGTCTCAGGTACCAAGTTAACAACTTCTGTCAAATGTGTAAGAATTCTTTTTCCCCTATCTCTGTTGTCCACATGCTATGCTATAACTTCTGATGTTGAGGAGATTTATATATCACAAGCATAGGTAGGATGGGAAAGAAATTCTGAGTCATATATTTTGATTCTAGTAGGAAGTTCACAAAGCAATGTGATGTCATATCTCTTTCTTGCTGATTTATGTAATAGTTTCACAGTCCTAAGTCTTCATATAGTGATATCGCTGTGTTGGGCAGCTTTCCATCCCTATAACAAATACCTGAGATGATCAGTTTATAAAGAGAAAAGTTTATTTGAGCTCACCATGCTAGGGATTTCATTGCGTGGTCCAGTGTTCCTGTTTATTTAGTGCCTGAGGCAAGGCAGCAATCATGGCAGGAGTATGCAGCAGACCAAAGCTGTTCACTTTCTGTCTTGGAAGCAAAAGGAGAGAAGGTAAAGGGGCTTGGATTTTGTTACCCCCTGAATCATCTACTACCATCAATGACCTGAAGACTTCCCACTTCATCTCTGAAAGGTTCTACTACTGCCAATTGTATCAAGCTGGGGACCAACACTTTTGCACATAGGCCTGTAGGGGATATTCCAGACCTACATTATATCTGAGACATATATATATATATATAATTTCAGAGATGTAGCATGTTAAGAGACTCCAGACAGACCCCTTCGGAGGCCCAGGCCTTTTAAATTAAGGGTGACTTTCTATGGTCGGCAAACTTTCTTCTGCAACCTGTAGGTCTTAAATATAAAGCTGGCTTTGACAACTTCATAACGCAGGAGGTTGAATTTAGAGATGAACGCTAGATTAGAAATGTGGACAGATTATTGGCTTTTGGCAGCATATTTTCAAAGGACTGATAGCTTTCCTATGCCTTGACAGTCCAGCCCCAGAATGTCTGCCTGGAACAGACTCAGGCAATGAGCTTGTTTCCCAGCAGTAATTTTTCTGCCTTGGCAACAGAAAGGGAGACTCGGTTTCCTCAGCAGTTCTCAGGCTGACCTTTCCATTGTCTGCGTTCATCTCACCCTGCCTGTCCTCTCAGGACTAAGCCCTTTGCTGATCTCTGTATCTGGAGAGGAAGGAGGCAGGGGGATCCTAAGCTTGTACCTTTTGAATCTATGTGTCTTCTGAAATAGGGCCATTCACTTGGAAGAAAAAGACCCTGTTCCTCATTCCATCTAGAAAATTAGTTTTTAATCTTCTTCCTGGCTTTTGACTCTCTACTGGACCTACTCCCTGAGCGACTTGATTTGAGTGACGTGAGTTACTTTTTCTACTTTCAATAATAAAGCTGCCTCAGAAATAGCTGTTTCACATCTCTTGGTGGAAAATCAGAAAAGGGGCAATTTTTCAACCTAAAGAAGTTGAAATATGATTTCTCTATTGTACAAGTCAAATGGCTGGAACACTACACAAAATAGGAGAAAGCTATTCATTAGATTCAAACTCTAGCAAACAAGACCTCTTTTATGCTCACTCAGAAAAGCTGACAAGTTCACTAATCTCGGTGTCAGTTCACTGCTACAGACAGAGTGTGGGCTGCCAGCTTTCAACAGGAGAGAGTTGGCAATGCCACTGTTTTATCTGAGTGAGAGACTGGTATCTCCCGCTCCTCCACAGAGTGGTCATGCACACAGTAGGAGCTATTGGCATGCAGTGCTCGGACGAGGAGGGCAATGACTGACACTTCACTGAACCACACGTGCTGCAGATGAAGGCTGATGGCTGGGCCCTGATTGACACAAGCTTTCAAACAGGAACGGCAGCAGCACCCTAGTCAGAACAGTACCCTGGCGGAGAATATCTAAAAGGTGGGAATCCAGTGCAGGGCTGGTTTGCAACTTATACAATCACCCACCTCACTTTCATGAGTACTAAATTATTTAAAATAAATACTCTTTTGCTTTTGCTGTTGTTTTTTTCTTGAGGGACGTACGGATTAAGATTCAGTGAAGACTCACTTTTAATTTATGGATGATATTCCCAACTTGCAGAATTAGTCGTTAGGCCAAGATATGAAAATCAGATGTAAACACAGTTAATTAGGCATGAGTAAGCTTCACTGTGATCGGTGATGTTTGAAGAGACAGGCGTCTGGCCCGTAGCTGGAGGTGGGTGTTGTGGCGTTGGATGCCAGGGATCTGATCTATCAGGTTGGTGTAATTTTTCAGGGCTCTGAGAATTTTGTAAACTAGGTTTAATTTCCCTATTTGTCCTTGGCTACCTGCTATTTTAGGGATTATGCTTAAGTGCTGTGTTTCTTTTTCCAATCTGCAGAAAAGCATAAACCTTATAGAAAACTCCTTAGATTTCCAAAGGTGGTCCAACAGTTCACCCTGGAATGAGGAACTAAAATCAGACATTTCCTGACAGAAAATCCTGTAATGAAACAAGTAAGCCAAGGAGTGGGTGTTCTGAGACAAACCAACCTACACCGCACTATGCTGGGAAACCACTGGGGATGTGAAATTAGATCCAACCCAAATGCAGCATCTAGTTGCAAGAGACCTAAATGAGGGATTAAAGGCCTTGTAGTGAATGAGGTCAGTCTTGTTCTACTACTGCCTTAAGAATTTGAGTTAGTTTTTAAGTGTCACTGTCACTAAGACACAAAGCCATCATAGTGATACCTTCAGCAATGGACATGTAATACATAAAAGGGTGTGATAATTAAATAATGGCCTAGGATATAGTATTAGAATTTCTTAAAGAGCATTATGGCACAAATGTGTCAACCATGCAATTGTTGAAAACTCAGATGAATATAGTATGACAGGACTTAATATTGACTGCATAGAACACTGCAGAGATGATTGTTGGGTTAGAAATCTCAAACAAGTCTCCAAACAGAACAGCTAGAGTTTTGTAAGAAAACTTGGTAGAAAACAGGGTGCTAGTTTGGTTGCAAAAAGGACTGGCTATACTGTGTTAATTTCTTTTTACACTTACTTTAGATTTGCGGGCAGAGGTACATGGCTTAGCAGTATCTTTATCTATCAGCAGTACATTGTTTGTCTATAAGTCTGTTTACAAGTTCTAATAAAAGAGATGAACCCACAGATTTGTTCAAACTATTGGCCTGGCATAAAGGGACATAGCAACTTTTCTTGCTCTGCCCTAGAACATCTCAAAGAGATCTACCAGTGCTGAAGATCAAACCCAGGGTCTCACACATGCTGTGCAAGACTTCTACCACTCATTCATATCCTTAGGCCCTCAGAAAGATCCATTTTTGTTTTCAATTTTAAAGAGAATTTAAAACAAAAAGAACAATAGCAAAATGCCAACAAATAGACAAAAACAAAACAAAGCAAAAACAGTAAGAATGATACAGGGTTTCAGAACAGAATGATAGGGATTAACAGTGGTTGTTATATTACATATTTTTATCTTTGTCGAAGTTGGTCAGATTACCAGATGTAAGAATGCAAGATTAATCAAACCATTAAAGAGAACAAAAAGTTTATAAATGATACAGAATTTCACCAAAAAAGATGAGAGAAATTCAACAATGGTTGTTATGTTGCATATTGTTGTCTTCAAATTAGTTGTTCAGAATGCCAGATGTAAGCATGCAATACTCCCAAAATTGTTGTACAGATTCAATGCAATCCCAATTAAAATACCGTTAGGATACCTCACCAATCTAGAGAAAACATTCCTAAAATTCATTTGGAACCAAAAAGGCCTAGAATAGCAAAAGCAATCCTGGGCAACAAAGGAAAGGCAAGAGGCATCACAGTCCCTGACTTGAAATTATACTACAAAGCTACCGTGATAAAATCAGCGTGGTACTGGCAAAAAAAGAAAGATCCATTCTTAAGTGAATTGCTTCAACTTCAACTGACAATAAATATTTATTGCAAATGTATAACCTTGGTAACACTGATGCAAATATTTTATATAATCAGCAGATCAATTTACATAAGTAAATACATTCACTTTCCTGTCCTGTGTATATTTATTTTACTAGTTATGATTCAGCTATTACCAATAAATATTTTCATATTTCTACTTGTAGCCTAGAGTGAACTGTCTTGAATTGGACATTTCTTAATTCCACAGACTCACTGTCCATCTCTGGTCTTCTGCATATTAAAGATGAATTCAGATGGGGTCCAGAGATTCAACAGTTTCTCTATTCTTGAAATAATTTTTAAGTGCAAATTAATAATTATAATTAAAGTATGATCATAAAATAATTATATGAAGGAGATGACAGAAAATAGAAAAGGAAAGAGGAGGTGGAATCAAAGATTGGATGTACCAAGATCAGTAGAGAGTTTTATGGTAGTTCAAAGAGAATAGATGAGAGTCTGAAATGAGACAATAGCACATAGCAGATGTTGAATAAATATCTTCTGGATGAAAGGCTGATAGAGATGATATTTAGAAGATAGTATCAGTAAGCTGTAGTTGTTAATTAAATGTCATGGATCAGAGAAAGAAGACCTCAAAAGTCATTACTGACAGTTCTAATACATTAGTTATATGGATGCCCCTATATGGAGCAGCTCAATCTGGTTAGTATCAGGCAGGCATATTGAGTTTGAAAACCCATAAAGCATCTGGAAGTAGATCACCTAGAGCAATGGTGGCAAACCTTGTAGAGTTCTCAATAATAACAAACAGCCTGCTGTGGCTCACATGCCCCATAGGTTTGCCACCACTTAAATAGAGACTAGGGAGATAAAAGGGTCTCAGACCCATAAAGACGGTAAAGAGTTCACTTAGGAATTTAGGAATCTATGTTAATGAAGTAGAGAAAGTCACTACAGTGAATTAGACCATATAATGTCCAAGAAGACAAGACAGTGAGCTTGAGAGTTGCCTACTCTCAAGCAGACAAAAGAACAGGAACTAGTAATGGACCCAGGGTGAGCTATTGTGAAAGCTGCAGGAAAGCCAGGCAAAGGAAGTACTGTGGACATCAGTGGAAAAAGTTTCAGGAAAAAACGAGTGCCCATTGTGAGAGAAGACTACAGAGACATCACCAGCTTTGACAGGAGGATAAGGATGGAAGAGAGGAAGCAGAAAGAGCTACCTCACATGATCACCTCAGGTTCAGCACTGGAGAGAAGGTAGATGAGAAAGAAGCTCCAGGAGTGAACCAAGTGAAAGCAACATGGCCGCCTTTGGATTTTATAGATAGAAAGAACTCAGCACAAAGAAAGTAACTGAACCTAAAGGAAAAAGAGAAGTGATTTAAAAGATATCCCAAATGGAAACATAGACCTTTTCCTCAGAGATGAAAGGAATTATAGCATCAGGGACAAATTTACTCAGCCCCTCTAAGACATAGGAACCCAAATATTTGTTAATGAAAAGTTGGAGTTGTGATAGTGAACTTAAGAAGAACAAAGCTTCCAGGAGGAAGCTAACTAATGTGTACATTTTCTGCATGT